TTTTATTGGTACTGTTTTATTAGCCGATGAATATGGGACTAATAAAATAAGTCTTCTTACGGTTTGGTACGATTGTTTCAAAGTTTTGGAGCCATATCCGTTCCGCCATTAGCAGGTAAATTTTATTTTATATTTAACTAAACAATATAACTCGCAATTCATTCTTTTCTCATTTGTTTTTCCTAGGATACCTTCGAGACATAACCGGAAGTTACGAAATATGTTTTTATTTTATGGGAACTTGCATGGTTTTGGGGGGTATCGTTTTTATGTTGGAACCAATTGCAGTAGACTGTAAATTTATAAATAGTAGTAGTAGTAGTGTACCTAAAATAAATTTACCAGAACAGTCAAATTCAAAAGACTAAAAAAAAGAAATAAAAAGTATTATAGAGTTACTAAATAAATAAATAATTATTTAAATTATGTTAGATTATTAAATTTTCATAATGATTGCCAAGTTTTGAAGCATTAAAATTTGCTTTTATTTGAATGTTATGGGGAGCAGGGGATTGGTGGGGGGAGGGGTTAAAGGTGAATAAAGCGAAAAAGAAAAAAATTTATTTTTTTTATAAAAGTTTTAAGAATTGATAATAATAATAATAATTTGTTTTTTAAAAGAATATAGCGCTATTGTATTTATATAAATCAAAGCTTTCTGCCATAAAACTTACTGATTGACTGCCCACATATCCAAAAAAAAATAAATAATAAATAAATTTTATTTCTTTTCTTTTATAAACTTAATAATTTTTTTTTTTAAAGTTTAAACAAAATACAGTAGGAAGTTTGTAATTGTTGAAATGAGTAATTGTTTATAAACAAAAGTAAACTTTAATAACAAAAAAAAATTATTTTAATATTCATTTGAAAGGTAAAAGATGAAAGGGGAAAATCGAGAAGAAAATTTTTTTTTTTTTTTTTAAATAAATTATAAATTTAAATAAAAATTAACAAATCACGTGACATGTTTTTATCTATTACATATATTTTTATAACACTATTTGTAAATAAATGTAAAATTGTTTTGTTATTAAATAATTTTTTTATTTTATAAAAATTGTTTTGAATAACGAAAAAAAATTGGCTTTAAAAAAAAAAAAAATTTTAATTAAATTGACTTTGTATATTTTTCAAAATTATGTCATTTAAAAAAAAATTATTAATAATAATATGTAATAAATAATAATAATAATAATTATTAACGTATTAAATAAAAAAAATTACTTAAACGCGTTAATGCAGGTATTAATCAGGATATTTTCAATTAAATAATAAAAAATAATAATTTTTACGAATTTATTTATGTATATAAATTTATTCGATCGATGATTAAACAATCAGATTTTTTTTTAAAAACAAAATAAATAATTTCTTTTCAACAACAATAACAATAACAACAATAAACAAAAATAAACAATTTTTAAAAAATATAAGATTTTATTTTAAATTTATTTATTATTAAATATAAAAATTCAAAAAATATATTATATATTTATATATAATACGCTTGTTGTAATGTTTTTATCATTATTATTATTTTTTTTGTTGAGATATATAAAATAATAATAATAATAATAATTTTTTAAACAAAATAATTAGTCGAATGTTAATGTTTAAAAATTTTTTATTATGTATTTCATTTTCCGTTATAATTTAAAAAAAAAAAAACAAGTAAGCAATAGCTATATATATATATGCATATTTATTTATTTATTTATTTATGTATATTTTGTTGTAAATAAATATCGATACCATTAATTTAAAGGGGGAAGAGGGGAGGGGGAATCCAATAACGAATTCAAACATAAAATGTAAATAATAATTTTTTTTTTTGTGTGTGTCTGTAGATTTTCCGTCCTATAAATAAAAGTACGTGAAATTATTAATATATAAAAGACAAAGACTGATTTATATATATATATATATATATATATATATATATATATATATATATATATATATATATATATATATAATTATAATTAATTTCGTTATTAATCAAAATAATAATAATAATAATAATATTTACAATAAACATAAAAATAAACATTAACAAATTGTGGCAGTGATAAAAAAAAAAAATAATAATTTATTAATAATTGTTAAAC